TCCACCACTCATCTCCTCTCTGCAATGTGCTGCGATAAAAATAACTTATTGGGCTGATTTCTTGAGGGAGGTATTAGCTACCAAACAAGCAAAGGCTGAGGGGAGACATATCACACAGAATTGGTAGGTCGGCTTGGTTCTGTTTTCCATTTGATGCCATGTGAACGTTTTCAGAGTCGTAATTGAATTTGGAAGCTTTATTCACGATGTGCAGTTCCTGGCATGGTGCTCAAGAATGACCTAAATTATTTGAAAATAAATCCCCTATAATCACCTACCAAGGGAGTCATGTTGTTTTTGTCCAGTGAACTGGTTTCCAGGTGGCACAAGGTTCCAGTGCTGCCTGTTGTTCCCCTTGTTTCATACAGGGGAAGATTAAGCTGGAAATAGAGACTCTTCCCCATAAAACTGTCTTCAGTGTGAGGGGCCCATACCAAGATAAAACATTTGCATATGAACAATGTCAGCAAGGGAAGAACTTGCATTGTCCCACTAAATGTATGAATCTTTCTTTGCAATGTGAAATGTAAGTTTGAATTTAAATATAAATTAAATATCTGAGATTTGTTTTATTACTCTGTGTATTTTGCTGTGCTGGCCAATAACAGCTCAGTAACACTGCTGGCCTTGTGTTGAATATTCCTGGCTGACCCCAGTGTGGAGCAGTTGTAGGGCATGTCTCCAGCTGTCACCCTTGGAGGGGACAATCGTGTGAGAAATTCCATGGGAGTTTAAAATGGCTGTGATGGGGATCAGCTCCTATCCCTGTGGGCTGCAGGCCAGGCCAGGCCAGGCCTTGGGGCTCACACTGCAGTCCCTGTGACAGAAGCTGCCCAGGGGTACAAGAGGGAAATCTCAGTTCTCTCCATATTCATTAAGGATCACTGAATCCTGCAGGAGATCTTTTGCCATCTCCGCCCTGATCTACTGATGGAGATATCCATGCAGATGTCACATCAGGGAGATATTTTGTTGACTCCGGTAAGTTTCAGGAGCATGTTGCTGACATTGTTTCCTGCAGGTGACATTCCAGGAAGTCCTGGGTTTGCTCATGAAGGATGAGACTGAGGCTCCAAAGAGGGAACACGGTGAGAAAGGGACAGTCCCAGAGTGGCAGGCAGGTGTCTGATTTCACTCTGGAAAAACACTGGATTCTGCATAACCAGGGGTGAAGCCAGATTCCCACCGTGCGCCCAGCATTCTGCCTGTGCCTCTCATCATCCTCAAATCAAACATCCCCTGAGTAATTTCACATGCAGTATCATGGGCAGAACACCCCCCTCGCAGCTGACATGCTTCTGACCAACACAGGTAGAAGACCTGTGGCCAGGAGAGGAACCCAGGTGGAGCAGCAGGGCACAGAGGTTCACCAGTGACATGCCGTAGCCCCTATGAGGCACGTGCCCCCAGCAGGAACTCAATACACGGGACTGGAACTCCAGTGCTCCCAGAACTGATGACGCGTGGTAGGCTGACCTTTTGTGTGAACTGTTTATTCGTGAAGAGGTTTGGGTAGCAAACCACCAGGCCCCCTTGGGCCACCACGAGGTTAATCCATGGTCGGTGTAATGTCGAAAGCTTCTACTTTATAGGAATGTGCTATAGGTAGCACGGTCTTATTGGTACGATCATAAGGAAGTGCTACTGTAGGAAACAGCTGTTAGGGCAGCACAATCCTACATGCAGCAGTTCCTAAAATTTCTGTGTTGAAAACAGCTCCCTGTAGGATTGTGCTCTTGGGGGCAGTTACTGATTTCCAGAAATAAGAAATTGCTACTGTAAGAAACTCCTACTGGAAATATCACTTTCATCTTTGAACCCCAGTATTCCATGGAACACCATTTTGGAAATACTGGTCTAAAAACAATGTTGGAGTCGACCATCAGTTGTTTACAAAGGATTACTCTAAACCAGTGTTTCTCAAACTTTTTTTATAAAGTACCCCTTTTCCAAAAAAAAGTATAAGTACCCCATTTAAAAAAAACTTGAGTACCCCCATTACCTACAGTTTTCAGACACACAATTTTTTTCTACCATTGCAACACTTTTGGTAAACAACTTAATCATAGTCTGGCAGGAGATTTTTTTCGTGTAAAATGTACAAAAATAATAAAATGTTGTACAATTTAAAACAAATTCAGTTTTCTCCAAATTTCAGTTGTGCTGAAGTACCCCCCATACATATCACTAGTTGAGAAACACAGCTCTAAACAAATAACACAAGTGCACTTATAAATACTTTTAATGAAAGTGTAAAAGACTCTGTAAAAGTCCTCCAAAAAAAGCAAATGTCATTGTTGGTCTGAACTCCAGGAATTTGCTAGACGGGAATCAGCCTAAGTCTATGTCTATACTCTGCATTGCTGTGCAAGAAGATATGCAAATGAGCTGTGGCAATGAATATTGCTGCAGTTCATTTGCATACCTAATGAGCTGTTATTTTTGCGGAAGGGACTTTTGCGCAAGGAGGAGTTGTCTACACTACTGCTTGCACAAAGAACCGTTCTTGTGCAGGAACTGTTCTGCTGCTTATTTTCAGGCAGAATGGCTTCTGCACAAGAGGGGTTTTCTGTGCAAGGAGTAGTGTACGCAGCTCCTTCTTGCGCAAAAACCCCTTCCGCAAAATGGTGGCTCATTAGGTATGCAAATGAGCTGTGCACTTCATCTGCATATCTTCTTGCACAACCATGCACAGTATAGACATAGCCTTAGCGTTTGTGAGGGTAGCAGCTTCTTACACTGCAGACTAAGTAACTGTTCTCCATATCTCCACTAGGACTTTCTCACTACAGTGGTGAATGGAAATTTGCTAGGTCTTAGGGTGAAAGATGATAGCAGTTTCTTATACTGCAGGCTAAGTAACTGTTCCCCATAGGAATGTCCTACCTCCACTACTACTTTCTCACTGGTCCCTGTAGGAAAGTGATACTTCCAGTATTTTCTTTCAGGAGCAGTTTCTTTTGCCCTCTTTAAATCCATTTTTAAAATTTTGGTGTTCTCCTGCCTCACATTCCTTATAACATTGCTCTCCAACCTTTTTAACTGCAAGATCACTTGCAAGTAAAATGTTCCTCAAACTGAAACACCCACTTTATTCCAGCCCCTCTTTGAGGCCCTGCCCTTCCTCTGTCCCTTCTGAGGTCTCACCATGCTCACTGCAACCCTCTTCTTCCCCCAACCTCAATCACTTGCACCAGGCTGGGATAGGGGTTTAGGGAGAACGCCCTGTGCTTTTGCCTACAGGTTTGGAGTGTAGGAGGGGCTTCGGTCATGTTTGTGTATGTGACACAAAGAGAGAGAGAGAAATAATGGCTACCTGCAAAAACATAGGTGGTTAAGCATAGGTTTCCATAGGACAACTAATTTTTACTTTTGCGTATCTAAGTACAAATTAAGATGTGATACTTTTGTACTTTTACTCAAGGGCTGTGTCTACATTGGCAGGATTTTGCGCAAAAGCACTTGCTTTTGCACAAAATCTTGCCACCTGTCTACACTGGCTACAAGAATTTGCGCAAGAACACTGACGTTCTAATGTATGAAATCAGTGGTTCTTGCGCAAATACTCTGACACTCCAGTTCAGGAATAAGCCCTCTTGCGCAAGTATTCTTGCACAAGAAAGCCACTGTAGACAGCCATGTTAATTTCTTGAGCAAGAAAGCCCGATGGCTAAAATGGCCATGGGAGCTTTCTTGCACAAGAGAGTGTCTACACTGGCACGAATGTTTTTGTGCAAAAGCATCTGTGCCAGTGTAGACACTCTTGCACAAATACTTTTAACGAAAAAACTTTTCCGTTAAAAGTATTTGCGCAAAATCATGCCAGTCTAGACGCAGCCAAGTAGATTTACAGGTTACTTTAGCTTTTACTTATATTTGTTGCAAAGTAGCAGTACTTTGACTTACGTATCTTTTCCCCCAACACTGTGCATTGCACAGAGTAATTACAGTACAAGACATTTACAAGGAGCAAAACAATGAATATGGGATACAGAGACAGGAGTGCAATTCTGGGAATCCCGGGAATAAGACAAGAGAAATGTTATGAAATTTCATGTCCTGTCTTTAGAACACCTTTAAAATGTAGTAAGTAGAAACATAAAGGCTAAGTCTACATTGGCAGCTTCTTGTACAAAAACTCTTCCAGAAGAGAGCATCTACACTGGCATGTGCTTTTGCGCAAGAACATCCATGCCAGTGTAGACGCTCTCCTGCCCAAGAAAGCTCTGATGTCCATTTTAACCATAGGGCTTTCTTGCACAAGAAATTCATGTTGCCTGTCTACAGTGGCCTCTTCTGGAAGAGCTCTTGCGCACGAGGGCTTATTCCTGAGCGGGCATGTCATAGTTCTTGTGCAAGAAGCCCTGATTTTATAAATTAGAACGTCAGTGTTCTTGCACAAGAACACACAGCCAGTGTAGACAGGCAGCAAGTTTTTGCGCAAGAGCTATAGAGTGGGCATGGCAAAGTGCAGGGGTGTCTGCAGGCCTATTGAGCATGCTCTGTGCAGAAGTGAATAAATGATTAAAATAAATGTTTAAGCAAATAAAAAAGCCCTTTTGCCACCACTCTGACTTGTGCCTCATTTCCACTGGGGAAGCTGTTTTAAGTCCTCCTGCCCTGCCTGTGCTGGGGCTTTGCTCTCTGTGTTGCAACGTTTACCTGGCGCCCCTCCCCCCACCAGAACCCATCCTAGCCCCGCCTGCATCTGCTCCACCCCCTGCCAAGTCAATGTGAAGCCGCCTCCTCCGTTGAGCCACTTTCCCCCCTTGCGAAAGGCTTTTAACAGGGACTAAGCAAAACTCACAGCGCGTGCGGGCAGAGAGAAGGGCAAAAGCTGCACGAGAACTGCGGCGCATGCGCAGTGCCCGGATCTCACACTAGGAGGAAGTAGCACAATGCCTGCATCTGCTCCACCCCCTGCCAAGTCAATGTGAAGCCGCCTCCTCCGTTGAGCCACTTTCCCCCCTTGCGAAAGGCTTTTAACAGGGACTAAGCAAAACTCACAGCGCGTGCGGGCAGAGAGAAGGGCAAAAGCTGCACGAGAACTGCGGCGCATGCGCAGTGCCCGGATCTCACACTAGGAGGAAGTAGCACAATCTCTCAGGTGAGCATCCCCCCCCCTCCCGCCGCGCGCCGCCCCGAGACCAACCAACCAAACGCGCGCGAATCCGCCGCAGCCACGTGGGGCCCAGAGCGGACCCTGGAGCCCCAGCGCCGCGCGCCGGCCCCGCCAGAAACCTCCCACCTCGCGCAGCACCGAGC